CACTATACAAAATATTGTTCCACCTCCTACTTTGGCAAGTAGCGACTGGCATCTTAAAAGCTAGCAAGCTGCCATCTAGATGCAATGATGCGTCTCTCCTCATCCAGAGCAAAGAAGAATGAAGAAAACCAAAATTCATGGAAACAATCAGTCCTAGCGACTGGTACACCATCCAATCTGCAGCCTATACAACTATGAGACCAGAAGAACTAGATGGTGCCCGACTACCACTGTCATTCATTTGGAAGGGGATCTATGTAGGAGACCCTTGATAGAGAGGGAGAACAATGTGGAACAAAACTCAACATCACTTGGAGGAAAAAAAAAAGGTGGGGACCAGGTTTGCTGGTCCAATAGAGCCTGGTGGAACCACTGAGACTATGGCTCCTAGCTGCCCTTCAGGTCTGGAATTGAACCCACACCTGTGGTTTCCAGCCAAACAAAAGACAGGCACACAAGTTGAACATTTATCTCAAGTAGATACACTCCTTGGAGAGAACAATCATGGGAGAAAGAAGGGCTGCTTATGCACAGGGAGACAGCTCAGGGCGCAGGAGAGTATGGAGGGATGGACACTGGGAAGAGATAACTATGGGGAGGAAGTGGGAGGGGAGCTGTTGCATTGTGGTAAACTGTGGTCAATGACATGAGACAAAGTATATGTGAACTGCTGTATGGAAACTGAATTTGCTCTGTAAATCTTCACCCAAATCACACACACACACACAAAGGAGCCATGGTTGCACAATACTTAAGTACTTGGCTGCTAACCAAAAGGTTGATGGTTTAAATCCACTAGTCGTTCTGTGGGAGAAACATGTGGCAGTCCACTTCTGCAAAGATTTTTTTCTCTCTCTCACTGCCGTCAAGTCAGATCCGACTCATAGTGACCCCTCCTTGGGTATCCCAGCCTAGGAAACCGTACGGGGCAGTTATATTCTGTCCTACAGGACTTCTATGAGTCAGAATCTACTTGATGGCAATTGGCTTGTTGGGATTTTTTTTTTTTTTTCTGGTAACTGTACATGCCTTGCAAACTTGGTTGCTTCATTTTTTAATACCCTAGCAGGACAAATAAGTTTCCAACACATATTTATTGAATAATAGACTTACCTTAAACAACTTTAAAGTATATTAACATGCAGTGAATTAAGATTCCATTTTTTTCCTGAATTATTACTGAGCCCTGGCACTGGTATAAACGAGAAATATTTAAAACAAAAACCTATAAAAATCTAACCATGAGTGTATGAGAAATAAACAGCGGCATTGTAACAGTATTATAGACATTTAACCCATTTACCCTCATGGTAAATATTTTATTAGGTTAAGAAAAATCTGATAATCCGATCTAATGTTCTATCTTCTTTCTTTATTTTCTTCACTGCACTTATCACCATATGAATTGATTTAATTAATTTGTTTACTGACACTCTTGCCCATAGGTCTTAAGATCATTGAAAGCAAGGCCCTTGTGTCTTGTTCATCCTTGTATCCCTAAGACTTGGCAGAATGCCTAGCACATGGTAGGCCCTCAGGAAGTGTTTGTAAATGACTGAGTAAACTATGCCAACTATAAATTAAAGTTAATGCCTCAAGAACAAGAATGGGAAAGAAGGAAGATAATTTCATAGACCATACAATATTTCCTATTTGATTAGAGAAGAAAAAAAAGGAAATGAGTGGTGGGACTTAAAATAATGTGACTAAATTTTAACACACCAAAACTTATACCTCTAAATGAATGTTTCTTCTTTCACAAGTCACCTCCAGCAGCTCTAAAGATTTGGTCCAAAAACCTTCCCATTGCTTAAAACATACTTTTAGAATTCCTCATTAGAACTGCTGTTAGAGCCTAAGGCTCTGTTCCTAAAATGTGGACTTCATTTTGAGAAACCACCAAAATTAATTGGAGTTAGCTTGCTAAATAAAGCCAGTGATAAAACTGGGTAATAATATTTAAAAAATGAGATGGTTAAGTATCATCAAGTCAGTTCTGACTCACAGTGACCCTGTGGACAACAAAATGACACTGCCTGGTCCTGCACCTTCCTCTTAATTATTATGTTTGAGCCCATTGTTGTAGCCACTGTGTCAATCCATCTTGTTGAGGGTCTTCCTCCTTTTCGCTTTCTACAGAGCATGATGTCATTCTCCAGGGACTGGTCCCTCCCGTTAACATGTCCAAAGTACATGAGATGAAGTACAAAATGCTCCTTCTAAGGAGCATTTTGGGAGCTCTGGTAGTGCCAAAGGCACTTGACTGCTAACCAGAAGGCTGGTGGTTCAAACCCACCAGCCACTCCTTGGAAGGAAGGTTGGGCAATCTACTTCTGTAGTGATACCATCTGGGAAACCCAAGGAGGGGTGCTATGAGTTAGGTCTGACTCGATGGCACATAACAACAAAACAACAACAAGGAGCATTTTGGCTGCATTTCATCCAAGACAGATTTGTGCATTCTTTTGGCAGAACATGGTATATTCAATTTTTTGTGTGTGTGTGCCAACATTATAATTAGAATGCATCAATTTTTCTTTGGTCTTCCTTTTTCATTGTCCACCTTTCACATGACTATGAGGCAAATGAAAATATAATGGTTTGGATTATGTACACCTTAATCTTCAAAGTGACCTCTTTGTTCTTCATTAATTTAAAGAGGTCTTTTGCAGCAGTTTTTCCCAGTGCAATACGACATCTGATTTCTTGACTGATGCTTCCATGGATGTTGACTGTGGGTCCAAGTAAAACAAAATCCCTGACAACTTCAATCTTTTCTCTATTTATCATGATGTTGTTTACTGGTCCAGTTGTGAACATTTTTATTTTCTTTATGTTGAAATGTCATCTATTGTAGTCTTTGATCTTCATCAGTAAATGCTTTAAGTCCTCTTCATTTTCAGCAAGCAAGACTGTGTCATTTGCATATCACAGGTTGTAATTAAGTCTTCCTCCAATCCTGATGCCACATTCTTCTTCAAATAGTCCAGGTTCGTGAATTATCTGCTCAGCATACAGACTGAATAAGTATGGTGAAAAGATATAAACCTGATGCACACCTTCCCTGATTTTAAACCATGCATTATCCCTTTGTTCTGTTTGCATGTTGGTCTATGTATAAGATCCACATGAGCACAATTAAGTTTTCCATAATTCCCATTCTTCGCAATGTTGTCCATAATTTGTTACGAGCCACAGAGTTGAATGCCTTTGCAGTCAGTAAAACACAAGTAAATACCTTTCTGGTATTCTTTGCTTTCAGCCAAGATCCATCTGACATCAGCAATAATATCCTTCATTCCATGTCCTCTTTTGAATATGGCTTGAATTTCTGGCAGTTTCATATCAATGTAAAAAGAACTGGTCAACACTCAACTATTTCAGCAATCAGCCTATTACCAAGAATCAGTAGTAGTGAAAGAAGTCCAAGCTGCACCAAAGGAATTGGCCAAAAATAAGGTTTCAGGAATTGATGGCATACCAGTAGAGATGTTTCAACAACCAGCTGCAATGCTGCAAGTGCTCACTCAACTATGCCAAGAAATTTGGAAGAGAGCTACCCGGCCAACAGACTGGAAGAAATTCATACTTGTGCCCATTTCAAAGAAAGCTGATGCAACAGACTGAAGAAAATATTAATTTCATAAATATTTTATCCAAGGAAAATTTTGCTGAAGATAATTCAAAAACAGTTGCAGCAAAAAATATGTGTGCCTACTGAAAAAGTGGGAAAATGATTTTTGAATACCAATTCAGAATTGGAGTTTTCTACAGTGGAATAATGAAGGTTGTAAAAGATTGTGTTACTTGAAAAACAAACTTATGGTGATGGGAAATATAAAATTTCTTTTTAAAAGAAACCACATGCATATTTTATTATTCTCAAACTCTCAATAAAACAAAACAAAACCCCACATTCAACTGCGTGGGTCATAACAAATTACAGATAACATTGAGAAGAATGGGAACTCCAGAACATCTAATTGTGCTCATGTAGACCCTATATAAAGGTCCAGAAGCAGTCCTTCAAACAAAACTAGGGTATACGGCATGGTTTAAAAACAGGATTGTATCCTATCACCATATTTTTTCAAACTGTATGCTAAGCAAATAATCTGAAAAGCTGGACTATGTGAAGAAGAATGTGGTTCATTAATAACTTGAGATAAACAGATTACACAACCTTTGTTGAAGTGAAGAGACTTACTAGAGCACTTACTGAAGATTCAAGACTACAACCTTCAGTATGGATGAACATAAATAAAAATCCTCACAACTGGATGAGTAAGTGTCATGACAAATGGAGAAAAGGTTGAAGCTATCAAGAATTTCATTTGAATCTAGAATCAACGTCCATGGAAGCAGTCAAGAAATCAAACAACGTACTGTGTTGGGAAAAATATGCTGCAAAAGATCTCTTCAATGTGTTAAAAAGCAAAGATGTCATTTCAAGGACTAAGGTGCACCTGAGCCAAGCCATGGTATTTTCATTCAACTCATATTCATATGAAAGCTGGACAATGAGTAAGAAAGACCAAGGAATTGATGCATCTGAATTATGGTGTTGGTGAGAAGAATAGTAAGTATACCATGTACTGCCAAAAGAACAAACAAAACTAACTTGGAAAAGGTACAGCCAGAATACTCTACAGAAGGGACGGTGAGAGGTGTCTCACATATTTTGGATACTTAAACAGGAGGGACCAGGCCCTGGAGAAGGACATCACGCTCCGTAAAGTAAAGGAGTCAGCGAGAAAGAGGAAGACCCTCAAGGAGATGTATCGACATAGCGCTGCAACAATGGGCTCACACACATGGCAACGATTGTGAGATGGCGCAGGGCCAGGCACTGTTTTGTTATACATATGGTAGCACAGAGTTGAAGTGACTCAAGGGCACCTAACAACAACAAAGAATGGCATGTTTCCAGGAATCTATGCAAAGTGCGAAAATGGTAGAAATCAGCAGGACCCAAAGAACTCTCCAACCCCCATACCAACCATAATGAAATCATCCTTCCGAAAGGCCTGAAAGTTCTGGTCAAATCCGAACGCCTGCGCCTTGATTCTACCCAGCATGGACCTGGGGCAAGGAGGAAAGAAGAATCATCTTTGGCCATTCCCTTCTTACAGCGCAAATTCATCACAGAATCTGCCCCCACCCCAGATTACAGCAGTCTCAGGATTTCCACAGCGAGGGCAGAGCAGCCTTTTAGACGCACGGCCCTCTCTGGGCCTGGCGTCTCCACAGCCGCGAAGGCCAACCGGCTCTTCTCTCTTTGTCTCACGCCCCCTCACCATTGTCGGAGCCGGCTGGTGGTCTCCTGGGCGGTAAGGGACTGGAAGGTTTTCTGAGGCAGAAATCTAAAGTAATAGCCACCCAAATTCCCTGGCTCTCCGGCCGCCATCGTGGTCTTGGCTCTAAGGAAGCCGGGGCCGTTTCCAGGGAGACTTGGCCACCTTCGGGTCCGCTGGTGGCGTTGCGTGAGGGGGCGGGGGACAGGAGTGGAGGCGGGACTAGGCTACGAGTCTGCAGGCTCTAGGCGTCTCCGTCTCTCCACAGGGTCCGGGTTAGGCAAAGCGAAAAATCAGTTTCCGCTTTCCAACGAGATGGTGCTACAGCCCCTCGGTCCGGGTTTAGGCAGCTATTGAAACTCAAGGTTCTGGTCTGAAAAAAATTGCCAATCAATACTCGTTGAAATTAACTCTTCATAATGATTACTCACCATGGTTAATTTCCCAGACTCAAGCACTGTCATCTTAGATCTAAATTTGATGACTCAAACGTTTCTGAAGAAAATAGTTATTCTGAATTAATTATGTTTATCTGTTTTGGAAGCAAATGTTTATGTGACTACTTTGGAAACTATTCTCTTCTACCATCTGGCTCTTTTAAAGAAATATTGTGGTAAATATATATA